CACTGTCCAGGTCATTGTCCTCCTCCAGCTGAAGCTCAGAGCATTCTGGGTCATTCTGATCCAGGTACCTTTTGAATTTCATCAGCTCATCCTTCAGAAACGTTTGAGCTTTTTCCTCCAGTAACTGAAATGAACAGTTACAGTTTAATTATTATCACTCCAGGCACCGTATCTTTTTATCACTTCATTTGTGAATTATGCTGCGTTCCATTTCAACTTGTAACTTGGAAATTCGGAGTTCCTGAAGTCGGAATTCCAACTCGTGAAGTTCGGGGAATCTACACAACCTCAACCTCCGAATTCAAAATGGCTGCACCCTTTATCAACAGAAGTTAAAGGTGTAGTTTTACAGTGTTTAGTAGCAGTTATGTATTATTTGTTACTCATTAAATTGGTTGCACACACCGCTTTCTGTGGACATGTTGCTATGGTGTTTTCATGTGCAAAACACAGCGTAATGTGTTGTTCTTAACTGGTATTGCTCACAACAGCTAACAATTAACCTGGCTTGAACTGGGGCCTGTTTCAGAAAGCCGGATTTTTTGCTTAGCCGGATAACTTGTCAGATTTAAAGTAGTCTGGGCTAAATATAGGTGAATGAAGATGAAGGCCATTTAAACTGGGGCACATTAAATACAAGGAGTTATCTGGCTAAGCAAGAAATCTTGCATTTTGCAACAGGTCCCTGGTATTGCTAAATGTCTTTCTGACTTGCTTTACTGGAACGAGGGTAACTTGGGTGTGACGTCATTCCCAGCTCCAACTTCCGACCTCCGAGGTAAATGGAACGCAGCATTAATGTAAATATCATCTCTTTCACAGGACAAAGTACTTATTGTACATCTGTAGAAGATATATGTCAATTTAGATAAAATTTAAGAAAATATACTGCAGTAATAAATGCAGACCTTGAAGATGGATGATAAGTCTCCTTTATGTGGATGTGAATTACATCTATTCACTCGGTCCCTGTGAATAAAACACAAATATCCAACCATTATATTTTTATTTAAATAGATGTAACTGCCATCCACATTCTGAGCTTATTTCATTAGGGCGGCTTCCTGACATCAGCTTGCTTATGATAGTATAAGAGAAGCAGTGACATTTAGCTATCCAGGGATGGAATTTTTTGGGGGGACAACCCTGACTCCTGCAATTTAGGGGCCCCCAGCTGATCTCGACTTTTAAAAAAAAAAAAACACATAGATCAAATTGTCACACCCGGCTCGCCCGATCCTCGTGTGTGCCACGCCGCCCTCGTTACCTCGTGTTACTTCCGGATTGTAATCACCTGTTGCTTGTTCAGATCAGCCTGTCTTGTGTATTTAGTCCGTGTCTAAGTCAGTATCCCCCAGATCTGTCATTGTGGTGTTATGTTCCTTGCCGTGTGCCTCTGTCTCCCTGCCAATAAACCTCATTTGTCCATATTTATGGCTCCGCTCGCCTGCTTCTCCGCTCGCCAGCTTGCCAACGTAACAGAATGACAGATCTCCCGAAAGAATCACCGTAGCAGGAAGAGGATCCATGGCTAATCCTGCTGCACGAGGTGATGTATTGGCGCGAGCAGCCGGAGGTCCGAGAGGACCCCGGCTTATCGGTCTTAGCCGACCACAGTTGAACCCTCCTACAAGAGGTCACCCCGCGCACAGAACCGCACGCCATTGCAAAGGTGCGCGAGAACCTTCAGCAGCTCATCGGCCAGGTGACGGAGAAGCAGCTCCAGCCGCTCGACTTCGCAGAGGCAACCCCGCCTCCACCTACCTGTCCCGGCCGGCGTAAGAAAAAGAGGCGCAGGGGAAAAGGAGAGGAAGCTGCCCCGACAATCTTCTTGTGGGGCTTGCTATCTCTCCACAGCCTCTCTCCCCGCGGAGTATCAGGAGGAACCCCTCCTGATTCAGCAGCCCCCGGGGATCATCACAGTCGCGCAGCTACCATCGCCACCAGCCTCCATGTTCCAGGGTGGCCACCTGGAATATGTGGGGATCGGATCGTTCTTGGACACTATCCCGCGGGTCCCGCGATCCCTTAAAGGGACCCAGCCTCTCCGGGAAGCGCCAAACCTGGATGCGCTGGCTGAAGTGCCCGAATCCCCGCCTGCTGCTGCTGCCACCGCTCTGTCCGCGTCACCGCCCGAGGTGCCTGCGGGGGCGCCCCCTGCTGGCCAAACACCCGAGGTTCCTGCTGAGTCGCCCGAGGTTCTGCCTGCTGCCGCTGCTCTGCCCGCGGCCTTGCCTGCTGGCCACATGCCCAAGGTGCCTGCTGCGGCGCCCCCTGCTGGCCACTGTGGGATTCAATAGAATTATAAAGAACATACAATGAATAGAGGAAAAGGAGAATATAGCTTAAAGCAGGGCATGATGAAAAGGGGGGGGGGTTCATTCTAAAAAATGCAGTTAACTGAAACGAGAACTGACTGGCGTGCCAGCAAGGCAAGGTTACCTAATCGGAACAGATAGGGGGGGCGACAGAGAACATCAGCGGACCCTACTTATCTTTTAGCCTTCCAGAAGGACAACTACGAGCCGACTAACGAGAGCAAGTGTCAAACATGTGGTTGTCACGTAGACGGAAGGTACCGAGAGAGGGGGTGAGATGCCCAAACGGCTTTAAAAGGGATACAGCTCATACATATGGCTGATTCAGTACGGGCAGGGCCAACAGGTACCTCGGGCGTTCATTACAACTGCCGAGCAGGACCTCGCCTAGGGTGAGTTCTAAGAACACCCGTACAGTAGCTTGGACTCTCGGGAGGGTGGGTGATGCTGGAGATCGGGGGGGTTTCAGCTGGGAGTGGGCCTGTTTGGCTGGGATTGAGTTTGTGGGACGTGCCCTGTTCAGGAGGGACACAACAGTAAGCTGCTCTGAATATAGTCTTATTGTTTTAGAAGTTGTTGATTTATGTATTGGTGGTGTTTGTTGGTATTACATTCGACTAAGATAAGGAGGTGTACTAAGTGTGGGTGGCTGAACCCACATCCGGAGGCAGAAGGGCTGTTAGACAAGGGATTAAAACAGTCAGGACTGATTAAAAATGGACCGCGAGTTAGATCAGGAGCTAGATGACGGGGGATGGCCGCCACCGGAAAAGGCAGTGTGGAAGCCACTAGTAAAGCAGATCCAGGTGGTGAAGGAAGCCATAGAAGGGGCAAGTGGAGAAGGAGATAAAGAGAAGGAGGTAGCTGATGCCGGGGAGCGTATGTGTGGGGCGGTTTGGAGCGCCGGGTGTCGAGTAGAGGATAAGCGCTCACTGGGAGAATTACTGTGGAAAAACGATAGGGATATCCTACGATAGGGATATCCTACGATAGGGATATCCTACGATAGGGATAGTACTTATTGGTATGAGGAACTGTTTGTTGAGCAACTAGAAGGCCGGCAGTGGCAAGTTGCCTCTGAGAACTTATATGTGGGTCCCGAAGGGGTAGCCTCAGCCACACTGCT